TTCCTGCAGGCCTGCCAGCCTCAGCCTCTGACTCAGAAGCAGACAGCACACCACTTTGCTAAAGGACAAGCTCAGACACATTTCTCTAAGGTCTTACACCTCTTTAACCTCAAAATGATGTTCTGCTAAGTCTTCAGACTTTGACGATGTGGACTCACTCCCTGCTCCTTGTTTTGTGTTCTGTTTTTGTTTTTAGCAGTTTTGAAGATAGACACGGGATTTTAATTTCATTTCACATTACTCACCAGACATGTTTCAGGGCACAAAGATTCTAATAATTACAAGAGGCAATACAGGGTATGGACAAGGCACACAGCCTAAAACCAGTGACGACAGCTTTGGTGGTAAAAAGCTAATGGCCCACACACATTTGCCTTAATCAATATCAGAAGTCATACACTTCCATCTAGGCAGCATAGGACACTCAGATGACAATAGCTAATTAGCCTCCATGTGGAAGAGCGCACAGCATCTAATAGTACAGCAAATGTATTTCTTTATTTAATTTTTTTAAATTCTATTTTTCAATTATAGTTTACATTCAACATTATCTTGTTTTAGTTCCAGGCGTACGTCATAGTGGTTAGACAATGATATACTTTACAAAGTGATCCTCTCGATATTTCCAGTACCCACCTGGCACCATCCACAGTTATTGCAATATTACTGACCATATTTCCTATGCTGTACTTGACATGATGTTCGCCATGGGTTTGCCATTCTATGGCCTTTATTATGTTGAGGTATGTTCCCTCTCTTCCCACTTAGCTGAGAGTTTTTATCATAACCGGGTACTGGGTTTTAGCAAATGCTTTTTCTGTGTCTATTGATATGATTGTCTGATTTTTACCCTTTGATTTGTTTATGTGGTGTATCATACTAATTGATTTGCAGATATTGTACCAACCTCGCATCCCAGTAATAAATCCCCCTTGATCGTGGTGTATTTTTAATGTATTGCTGAATTCAGTTTGCTAGTATTTTGTGGAGGACTTTTGCATTTATGTTCATCAGGGATAGTGGCCTATTTTCTTTATGGTGTCTTTATCTGGTTGTGGGATTAAGATAATGCTAGCCTCATAAAATGAGCTTGGGAGTATTCCCTCATCTGGGATTGCTGGAAGAGATTGAGAATAAGTGTTAGTTCATTGAATGTTTGGTAAAATTCACCTATGAAGCCATCCAGTCCAGTTATCTGCTTGTTGGAAGTTTTATTTTTGTTTTTGTTTTCTGCGTCAGTTTTGTTTATTCTAAATGGTTTGTTCAGATTTTCTGTGTCTTCCTGATTTAGTCTTGGAAGATTGTATATTTCTAGGAATTTATCCATTTCTTCCAGATTGTCCAGTTTGTTGGCATATAATGGTTTGTAGTACTTGATTATAATCCTTTGTATTTCTGTGGCGTCAGTTGTTACTTCTCCTCTCTCACTTCTGACTTTACTTATTGGGATCCTCTCTCTTTTTCCTTGATGAGTCATGTTAAAGGTTTATCAATATTGTTTTGCTTTTTAAAGGACCAGCTCTTGGTTTCATTGATCTTTTGTATTTTTTTTAGACTTTGTTTATTTCTACTCTGATCTTTATTATTTCCTTTTTTCTCCTCATCACTTTGGGCTTTGTTCATCGTTTTTTGTTATTTTTTTTCCTAGTTCCTTTAGGTGTACATCAGATTGTTTACTTGAGATTTTTCTTGTTTCTTGAGGTAGGCCTGTAATGGTATGAATTTCCCTCTTAGGACAGCTTTTGCTGTGTCTCATAGATTTGGGGTTGTTGTGTGTTCATTTTTATTTATCTCAGGTATCTTTTGATTTCTTCCTTGATCTCATTGTTAACCAATTCATTGTTTAGTAAGATATTATTTAGCCTCCATGTGTTTGTGTATTTTTCAAGATTTCCCCCCCGCCTTATAATTGATTTCTAGTTTCACACCATTGTGGTCAGAGAAGATGCTTGATATGATTTCAGTCTTCTTACATTTATTGAGACTTGTGTCCTAATGTGTGCTCTATCCTGGAAAATATTCTGTGTGCACTTGAAAAAGAATGCATATTCTGCTGCGTGGGGTGAAACGCTTTGAAAATATAAATTAAATGCAGCTGGTCTAATGTCTCATTTATGTCTGTGTTTCCTTGTTGATTTCCTGTCCAGAAGGTCTATGCATTGGTGTCAACGGGGCGTTGAAGTCCCCTCCTATGTCTGCATTACTGTCTATCTCTCCCTTTATGTCCATCAGCATTTGCTTTATATATTTAGGTGCTCCTAAGTTGGGTACATAAATGTTTATAATGGTTATAGTCTCTTGTTGAATGGATCACTTTATCATTATGTAATGTCCTTCTTTGTCTTTTACAATAACCTTTTTTTAAAAGTCTGTTTTGTTTGATGTAAGTATTGCTACCCCCCAACCCACCCACCCCTACAGTCCACACACTATAGGCAATCACACACTAACAAACACAGGCTACATGTACCCCAGAGAAAATGTCATTAGAGCTATTTCAGGCAGTCATACAAATCAGGCCATTCACTTAACAATTACACTAGAACTAGAAATGGCCCTGCATTTTTAAAGTATAATAATAAATAATAAGTAATGATACATTGGAAAATTTTTTAAAATACTTTTTATTGATCTCAGAGTCTTCACATTATTGTTTAGGGTTCCTTGT